CACATCATCTTCTAGAAACACATGATCCTACTCCTCTGATTTCTCCATCTAATTTCTCCTTCTCTTTTCTCCATCTTTACTGAGGAGTTCTCTACTGAGTTCTGCTCTTCCTCATCATCCACCATCGTTGTAACGCCCGTGTTTCTAGGCTAGTCATTAATGATGATGTAATAGTCTAGGTCAACCGTTGTAATTTTTTTTGAAATAATAAATGGTATTATTTGAGTATTATGTGTTTTATGCTTAATTATTATGATTTAATGAATTAAGAATAAAAATAAGCGTTGAAAATAAATATTAGATAAACCCAATATCTATGAAGGAAGTTATAATGGTCGTGACAAGGATTTCGGATATATAAAGAATACCGAAATCCGAGTTATAACGAAGAAGTTATGACATGTCGAAGTTTCGCGACAGAACCGGCACGACACTGCGCGACGTAAATAGTGAATTTACGATAGAGCGATATTTGACATTAGTGATCTAAACGAAAGTCGTAGAATATGTTAAACCGAGAGCGTGCATAAAAAGAACGTCTTGAATCTGACTTCGTATGAGGGAGTTGTGATTTTTCTAAGTTTCAACTTAGCAGTATGCAGCCCAAAACTCGATATTTAGATCGAGTGATTTCTAGCCAAAACAATCTAAATGAGAATCGAAGATCTCGTCGATAGTAGTGCAACGGTAAAAAGACAGACGAAAACGGACGTCAGATGAAGAAGTTATGAATTATTAACAGACTTTTCCTGTCTCGGCCTACTAAAAATATAATATTAAAAATAAAATCAAAATTAGCCGACGGAGTCTAAATGAAAGTTATAGAGCATAATATCACCTACGCGTGGATATAAAGAACGTCGAAAACGGAGCTCGTATGCGAAATATATGAATTTATAAAGTTCGGATCACAAACTTCGAGGTCTGTCAGAATTCACGACGTGAACTCAGTGATTGACACTTTCCAGGGCTAGGAGTCAGACGTCGAGTCTACGAACTGATCATGACCAAGTTCACGACGTGAACAAGCCTGGTTCATGACGTGAATGTCGAATTTTAGCCCTATAAATAGAAACCAAAGCCAGCCGATTTGGTTGCTAATTTCTGAACCTCTCTCCTACTTCTCTCATCTTTAAGCCCCTCTATACTGCCTCGAAGTCCCGGTATCATCCCGACACCCGAAACAAGTCCCGAAGCCCCGAAGATCCCGAGAAAAAGAGTTTTCGAGCCGAAACTCTGCCCGCGAGAAGTCCGGTTTTTGAGAAAACATCCCGGTTTCATCGAAAAATATTACTTTAAGAGCCGTAGTGCTGTCCGATCATCGTCTTATCAAGTGAGTGTATAGTCACTTTCATCTTACACATAGATATGAAGTATTTTGTATAAAATATGTGCTATGTGTATACTTATATTATTTGTTTATTTGAGATGGATGTTAAATGAATATTTTATACATGTTTTAAATGATTTAAACTGTATATGGATTTTTATATCTACGAATATGTTGGGTAGAACATGGTTAGATAAATAAGAAAAGATGAAATATAATATAGATGAATATTGGCAGCTGCGCCATAACCCTTAGGTGTTTTTGATTTACATGTTCACCAGTTGTAATCTAAATATCCCGGCAGCTGCGCCTAATGGATAATATTGGCAGCTATACCTAATAGATACAACATAATCTTGGTAGCTGTGCCTAAAGGATAATATTGGCAGCTGCGCCTAATAGATAATATTGGCAGTTGCGCCTGGTTGAGAACAACACAATCCTGGCAGCTGCGCCTAAAGGATAATATTGATAGTTGTGCCTAATAGAGAACGTTGGCAGCTGTGTTATTGGCAACGATGGACTTTGTGCTTATACCTTAGGAGAATCCTTTGGAATGAATGAGTGAATGATAGAGGATTCTTAGGGTGGAACCTTAAGAAACTGCAGAACCCTTAAGCAGTGTTGTTAACCCGGTGATGATCCTTAAGCTAGGTCCATGGTGACAATTGTTTTAGGGACGTAAAGTGAGGATAACGGGAATGGGTAATCGGGTTATTGTTGATTAATGAAATTAATATAATAATTTATTGTTGGTTGATAAAAATTAATAAATTTATTATTTGTGGGTTGAAAACCCTATATGCTCACCAGGCTCCCAAGCCTGACCCACACAGTTTTTCTTTGTATTACAGGTAGTGGCACCAGAGCGTAAGTTGGATGAGTTATCAAGATATTTTGGATTATAGGTCAGTAGTTGTAAATAACTGTTGTAAGGCTTATAATCTGTCGTTTATGCTTTTGGTCTGTATCGGAACATGACATCCCGAGATTTTGTTATATAATGAAAATACATTTCTTTAAGAAATGCTTTGATAAATTTTTATCATATTTTGTTTTGGGAACAAATTCCGCAACTCTTTTAATCAAAGGATTACTCTGATTTTATTTTAAAAGCATAAATTAAATCGGTCTTTTCTGGCCGAGAAATTAGGGATGTCACAATCGTCATTTCCAAGTGGTCCTATTTCTTGAAACACAAATCTGATTCAGAAAGAAAATGACATCGGCAATTTGTTCTGGACATTTTTTTGTTCATCTAAGACTGATTTTCAGGAAGAAGAAGATGGGTCTGTAAGAGATCGCCTGCTAGCAAGATAACAACATGTATCACATGAGATTTTGGAAGTAACCATGATTATCTTCCTTCTTGCAGGTTAGTAATGTTTCTGTTTCAGAGATCTCAAGGCACCAATTCTTGGTTTAAAACAAAGATGCTACAAAACACTTGTTTGAAGTATCTGTAGGGCTAGATTCTCTTGTTCTAGGAGAGGGTCGAATTCTCTCTCAGGTACAACATGTTGTAAAGGTAGGACAAGGCGTCCTTGGGTTTGACAGGAAAATCAATGGTCTATTCAAGCATGTAATCACAGTAGGAAAATGTGTCGGAACCGAGACCAAAATATCATCTGGATCAGTATATGTTAGTTCAGTTACTATAGAACTTGCCCAAATGAAGATCCCAAAATCTTGTTATGATTCTGTGAATGTATTGGTAGTTTGAGATGGTAATGAGTGGGCTGATTTATGTTATAAGTAAACTTGGTTTTGTGTGCGTATACTAAGAGAAAAATTACATTTTGGAAAAAGGCCTTTTCTTTTGTCACGTTCAACCAATCTCCAAACACCCCCTATTCTTACACAACAGACAATGGTGGGTTGATGATGTTTGTAGGTGATGGAAGCGTGAAGATGATTTTTTGTGATGATCAAGGTAGCGACAGTTGTTATCCTGGTATTGAGGTTAAATAAAGAAGAAGATATGGGTGCACTTATGTTTTGTTGGAGGTTTGATATATATATATATATATATATATATATATATATATATATATATATAAAGAGAGAGAGAGAGAGAGATATGGGGTGGGACCCCTTGCATATTAAGTTTCATATATATATATATATATATATATATATATATATATATATATATATATATATATATTAAATAAGAGAAAACCTCATAAATGGTCCATGGGTAGTGAAATGACAAAAATGCCCTTCACTTAATGGACATATACTGACGGAGTGAACCATAAGGACTAAACATTAAAAGTTTTGAAACCATAGGGACCATCCGTGAGGTTTTTTAAAGTTAGGAACGAAACTTCAGATTTTGTGAAACCACAATGACCATTTATAAAGTTTTGTCTTGATTTTATTAAACTTCTAGTTTATATCTATCATTAGATTTATCATATACTAGTTGTGAGACTCATGTATTACATGGATTAATTTTAGAAATAATAATAATAATAATTAAAGTTCAAAATATTTGAGAACTTTGAATTTATAAGAAAATAAGAAAAATAATGAATTATTATAATGGAAATATTTTTTATTTTTTAAGTTTAAAAAAATAATTTAAATAAATAAAAGAAATTAATGAGCTTTAATTTTTGGAATTTTAAAATTAAAAGGTAAGTTCATTAATAAAATGATATTTATTTATTACTATATTTATTGCAATTATTACATTAAAATATTATGTGGAATTTAATAAAATATAAAACTCATAAAATGACATGTGGAAAAAGAATTAATTCAAAATAACTATAAAATGACATTTGGCAAATTGAATGGGAGTGTGATAAGTGGAAAAAAAAACTTTCATTTATTAGAAAAGATTTAAATTTAATTTAATTTAATTTATAAATTTTAATTATTTATTTTTATATTGTTTTTATTTTATTTTTCACTTAAAATGACAACTTCTACCACCAAAACCGGATGCTACACCAAGCCACATTAAAACGTATAAAAGGGCCCCTTTGGCAAAATATAAATGTTTTATAGTCCATGGAAATTTTGCCTTTATTGTGGGTTTTAATAACGACAAATTTAAAGGGATCCGTTATGAACTCTTAGTATGTTACATATAAGACATTTATACACGTCATAAATTGATATATTGGGTGACAAATTTGTTCAAGACCAATGAAGTGACTTACAGCAAATCGGGTATGAAGATTTTTTTATCCCCATCGTTATTCCCTTTGTATAGACTTATTATTGGTTACAAGTCAGATTTAGAAATGAGATTGAAAAAGGTCTCTGATTGCCATTTTCATGTTATAAACTCAATCTAAACACTCATCTTTAAATATGTATGTCGTATTTTCATATTTCTAAACTTCTATTCAAGACATCCATGAGTCTAAGCATCTTTTGGAGTGTCATAATCATATTAAAGTTTTTTATGATAAGTCTTAGAGCATGTGGTTACATCTGCCGTTAAAACTACATATTCAACATTTGTTAGTGTTCTTCTTTAATCGAAAGTCATTTTAGCACAGAGACAGTGAATCTCCTACTATACTAATAATCAAACGCTAAAAGATAACATATTCTCACAATATATATATGGTAGAATTGAAGACCGGAGGCATAACAAAAGTAATCATACTTCAACACCAGAATCACGGGCTTCAATTCCATTCATCAACAAATGGTAAGATAATTCTCCATGGATGCTCTCAACAAGTCGCTATGCCAAGATTTACTTATAATATAATTCTCCTCCTCTTTGCAGGGTTTTCTAATGATAATCCTTTTGAGCTTTTGTTACATTTCTTTCGACCTGAAAACCGCTAGTGCAAACACTTTTGATGTAACATCGTATGGTGCAAAAGGAGATGGGAATACAGACGACTCGGAAGTAAACCATATCTACAAGTTTGAATCAAAAGAGAATGTGGTTACATGTTAAAGAATCACAACCAATTAGCTACTGTTTTTGTATGTTCATTGTTGTAGGCGTTTATTCAAGCATGGACTGATTTATGTGGAGATAGTTCATCAGACCCAACTTTGATCATACCATCAGACATGACGTTTTTGATAAGCCAAGTGACATTCATGGGCCCATGCGAATTTCCTACAGTAAATATTAAGGTCAAATTAAAACTCGAAAATTACCATTGAAATTTATGATAATAATTAGACCATTTTGCAAAAAGATAAATAAAAACTATTATATTTTGAGTAACTTTGGGATGTAACTATCTTATACTTTATCTTTGTCAATCAAACAACAAAAATTTCATATATTTTTCCAATTTAATATTTTGACATAAAATATTAGGTTTCACTGATAATTTTGTTATATCAATTATTGCTTGTAACCTTTTTTTACAAGTTAACTATCTTAATACTGGTTACACTGTAATAAAAAAAAAGTTTGCAACTTTTAGAGTTTGATCGAGAAGATAAATATAAGTAATTCAACCGTAAAAATGTCCAAAATGGAATCTTTTCCTGTAATTTGTGTTTATAGTTATTATTAATATCACGACATCTGTGTTGGCTGAGTAGCTTTTGGGCAACATTACTGCACCGATGACACTCGATGGATGGAAAGATTGTAAAGAGAATAAATTTTGGATACAGTTTGAATCAGTGGCAGGACTCACCATCGATGGACCTGGTCAGATTGATGGCCAGGGCTCGATCTGGTGGGGACATCAGGTAACAAATAAACCTAATATCAAACACAATAGAGAAATTAAATTACTTCCTATCTTTTATGCTTACAAATATTTCTATCCACTAACATTATGACACGTGTCATCATTCCACCATTAAATTTAATTTTATTTGATATATTCTTAATATACTCTTAATGAGATAGTTAGAAAAATATGGAATGATAACACTTGTCATATATTTAGTGGGTAAGAATATTTGTAAACATAAAAGATATGAAGCAATTTAATTTCTCAACACAATAAGGCAATTTGGATTTATCATTTGATTTTGTAGGTGACAGCTGAAACTTGTGATAACCCTTCGGTAAGTTAGTTTGTTTCTTCATATTAGATGTCCATACATGTCGAGTTTTTTAGAATATATTATATGAACATGTATGTAATATGAATCACTCAGGCTTTACATTTTATTAAATGTGACGGACTTCGGCTGAGTGGTATGACACATATTAACAGCCCAATGCTTCATATTAGCATTGTTGGTTGCAACGATGTAGATGTTGGAAATCTTCAAATATTAGCACCTGAATACAGCCCAAATACTGATGGAATCGACATCGGTGCTTCATCCCATGTTAATATCCATGACTCTATTATTCAAACTGGTATCAATAATCAAATCCATACTTGGTAATAACTTCTTCTATGATCGATGTAATCTTTAATCACTTTGATAAGCTTAAATAGGTGATGATTGCGTGGCCATTAATGGTGGCATTGTTGATCTCAATGTAACGGGTGTGTTCTGTGGTCCTGGCCATGGCATAAGGTAGCTCATTAGATTGTGAATTTCGTTGATTGGGTACTCTTGCATTAATTTAAGATCACCCCATGTGATACACAGTATCGGAAGCCTTGGGGAAAACGGTGGTTATGACACAGTTGAACAAGTTCGTGTAGAACACTGTAACATCTCAGGAACAACAAATGGGTTACGTATCAAGACAATACCAGTGAGTTCAAGGTTTGAACTTTTTTCTTTAACTTGTAAAAGATGAAATTGATATTAATCCATTTTGTTATGTCATAGAATGGAACTGGGTACGCTAGAGGGATTCTATTTCAAGACATTTATCTCGAAAACGTTAGAAATCCAATCATAATCGATCAACGTTACTGCAGTAGTAGTTCTGGAAATGCTGATTGCTCAGCTCCAGTAAGTCTTGTAGCTCATAAAACCAATATCATTGTTATTGTGTAAAGATGGATCTTCGTATTTAATATCATGTACTTCTTTATCTGGATTTATTAGCCATCGGCACCAGCTGTACAAGTGAGTGATGTGACTTACATGAACATATATGGATCTTCAGCAACACAACAAGCTATTACTTTCGATTGTAGTGGGATGTTTAAGTGTACTGGAATCGTAACAAATCAAGTTGAAATCACTGGAGATGACGCCTTTGCTTACTGTAGAAACGCTGAAGGAAATTTTGTTGCCACCACCCCGAATATTATTTGCGATTAGATAGATTGTAACAGAAAGAAATGAAAGTTTGATAGATCTGAAACTAGAGTAATAAATTGTTGGATATCAGGCCCTTTCATATATGTTTATGTGTTCGTATTTTGGGATGAGAGAGAGAGAGAGAGAGAGAGAGAGAGAGAGAGAGAGAGAGAGAGAGAGAGAGAGAGAGAGAGAGAGAGAGAGAGAGAGAGAGAGAGAGAGAGAGAGAGACTTTTCTGAAGAGAAAAATAATGCTTACTTTTATTGAGTAGATAGGTGACTATTTACAGTAAACCAGTTCCCTCTTTTCCCTCTTTTCTTGCTTCAACACAAGTTAATACTCTCAAATACCTGGTCCTATAATGACCCAGGGTGACTATTCAACCTACTACCATTTATTTAATTCATTAAATAAAGTAATTACTAAATTACTATTAAAACAACCTGTCAAGATTAAAATAACCCAACATCCACCCTTTTAATTTTGACCCATTTTTTTCCCAAGAAATGTGGGTTCTTCCTCTTCGATCAAGTTTACATTTTTTTGTTGTCTTTGTCGTTTGGTTTTGTGCACTCATAGCCAAATGCCCAAAATTTTCACAATCATATTGGAATCCACTTTTGTCACCTCAACATTTTCCTCTTCCGTCGCCTCTTCTATCTCTTTCATAGTTCCTTCCACGTCCTCTTCCGCGTCCACTACTTTCATCATGCTTTTGTTCGAGTTGATCTTGCTCTTCATTTTTTTTCTTCTAAGACTTTGAAGCCTTTCGTCATAAGCTTTAACCATTCAAACCGGTTCTTCAAATGACATAGTTTCAAGTTCGGAATATTGTTCAATGGGAACTACATTTGGCAAATACTTCTTTGGAACCGAGTTGAGAAAATTTCTTTTAATCACCTTCTCTTCAAAAGTTGAACCAAGACTTTTGAATTTTGCAACAATACCAATTACCTTTGCTGAAAAAATTATTGATTGTTTCATTGTCTTTCATCTTAAGCATCTCCAGTTCATTTGTTAACGTTTGTATCCTTGCCTTGATTGATTCCCAAACATCTTTTTCATTATTGTGTTTATCAACCTACAAAAGAACATTCTCTTGGAGGGTTTGAAAAATTATACCATTAGTTGTATAATTTTTCTTCTCATCAACTACATCTTTAGTTATAGCATCTCAGCGTCCATATGCCCTCAACACGGTTTCAATCATAATACACCAAGTCGTATAATTAGTCTTCGTTAATCTAGGACATTGAAACGGTACACTAGTACCTTGCTTATGAGCCACAACTTCTTTTGATCCCCCTGCCATTCTCCTCCCTGTATGTCAAGAGCTCTTGATACTTGGTCTCTCTTTCTTAGGGAAACCCCCGGTCTCGATAACCTCCTTTTGGTCTTCGGTCTAACTATACATGTAACATCCCAAAAACTCATAACCAAATTTTTTTGTTTTTATATTAAATAAACCATCAACCAAACATGTTTATCAAACCATAAGGTAATCAGAGTATATCAATAATCATCCAAAAGTACATCAGAGTTGATAAAGCGAAAAATCATGGTTTGTGTAATGCGATCATCTCGGGCTCTTCCTTTTTGAACCGGAAGTACCTGAAACATAAACTAAAAATCGTAAGCACAAAGCTTAGTGAGTTCCCCAAAATACCGCATACCAAACATAAATTTCAGCGTAAGGCTATACCGGGTCTATTTCACCCACGGGTCTATTTCAACTCATATGTCAGCACTAGGCTGTACCAGGTCTATTTCACCTCCGGGACTATTTCACCCACGAGTCTATTTCAACTCATGTGTCATCACAAGGCTATATCAGGTCTATTTCACCCTGGATTAAAGACACAGTGCTTCTGCTTGAAAAATCTTTGGACAACCTTCAATAAATACAGTAAATTAGTAAATAGAAGACCCTTTCACTTTGTTCCTTAAATGCAAACAAAGATCATGAAATACAATAAAATCATTACAAATCATAGTAAATTAGTTTATAAAAAGTTCATTAAATGTAATATGATATCATGAGACTTTAAAACTAACGTGACTTTTAGCAATGTACTTACATTAAAAAAACAAAGACCTCAAAATATGTGGATAATAGATATTTCATGTCAACCCAATTGATGCCAAAATTATTTTAAATTAAAAAAAACGATCTCACAACACTTTATCAACACTTGATAGGAAAAAAAAGAAACATGTCTTAACTAAGCTATATATGGTTGTTTCTTTTCTAAAACAGAACGATTAGACAAAGAAAGTAATCAGACGATACTTTTGCCATTAATTCTTCAGTTTTTACAATTTTACCCTCGTTTATTTTTAGATACGAAACCCAATAATTTTTTAGGTAATTTTTCTAAATGTGTATATGCAAAAGCAAAATATAAATTTTTGGATTTTGAGCATACCAAATGTATTTGTACATAACCTATGGAGTATTAAGAACATTATCAAAGAACCACATTAGAACTCCACACATCTCCTACAATAAAAATGATTTGTAAGCAACAAATAAATTGCAAATAAACCCAAAAAATAAAAGTTAATATTTGCTTTTGCATATGCTTTCATACGCGTTGGGTATCGACATGATCGACCTTATTCAAAACCATACTTCTCTTATGATCATATGAATTACTAGTTTATAACTCGTGGGAACCACGGTTATAAAATTAATTAAACTTTTATAATAAAATTTTATAATTATTAATCAATTATTTTAGATAAGTCATTTTAAATAAATTATTAATTAAGAGATATATCAAATTTTTAAAGTTATTATAACTTCAAATTTAACATATAATTAGAAAATATAAATTTGAATTTTGAAATGAGTTGCCTAATACATCTACATGACACATGGCATAATATTAATGAGGAGTTGTATTAGAGTGACACTTGGCAAAATGAGGTTAAAACTATTCATTTATTAGAATAGGGATTTATATTATGAGATGTAAATACAATAACAATTAATCAAGGGATAATTTATCAAGCATTTAAAACTAAACATTATAAAATCTCATTAAACCCAAATATATCTATAGTAAAAAAAAGTTATTTTCTAGTTATTTAAAATATGTAGCTTCATTAAAACGTAATTTTATGTAAATTTCATCTAATTAAAATTTACATTAATAAGAATGGGCTATATTTTAATTTCCATATTCCTAAAAACATCCATGGTCAAGAATTGGGAACTAACAAAATGAAAGGAATCAGATTCTTTCTAGAACAGTCCACATTCCCTTTAATCAGGCAAAACAAACATGTTTTTTTTTCATTCTAATGGAATCAACATTCCATTCCTTCTACCATTCTCTCAAACCAAACAATAACACTCTCTAAAGGAAAGATTTACTTATTTACCCATTATCCATTACTATAACAAACGGGTTGTATTTTGGAGTGGTTTTGTAGTTGCAAATATGCAAAATGTGACTGATGATGTGATAAAGATAGTTAAGAGGATAAGAGCGAAAACAAACAAAACTAATATAAACAGAAGTTATATGTTCCACAAAAAATTATTTTATGTTCTTTATTTTAGCTTCTTCTTTCTTCCATGTTACATATTTGTTTTTTATCTCTTTAGCTTTTTTCTAATAATGCAATAGTGTGTTCTTTCATTTTCCTTTTTCGTATTTAAATTAAGGTAATGTTAAAGTGATTACAATAGTTATTTGATAAACTTGGATTTCAGTTTTGACCATTCTGGCATTCATTCAAAAGCATGCAATAAGATTTAAGGTACTTGAAAGAAATATCACAATAGTAAAGAAATACCATCACATCATTGTTCTTATGAATTTTGCATCAAAGTAGGGTGTATTTCCCATATGCATAAACAAAGATTTAGGAATGTATTTAATCAAAGTAAAAGGCTAAATGCAATATTAACAAGAAAGTGATTTAAATTCCTATTAGGGGCATTTTTGTCATTCTAAATTTAAATAATATCGCAACAAATTCGGAGACCCGCTATAACTCCGGCCAGGTTTTAGTGTTCAATGGCTCTACCTTCGTGGAGATAAGCATATGGCTACTTTATCCTTTAATGTGGAAAAAACCCTGTTTTTTTATCCATAATCAAGAAAAACCTAAATGAGATTTAAGCTCAAATCATTTATTACAAGATTTTTGTTATCCCCTTTCAATCCCCGTACTGAAGTAGTGTTTCACTTTAGGCATCCACAATCCATTGAACTCTATAGAGTTCAATGGATTGCCACATCATCCATTAAACATCTATACAACACCTCCCACAATCCATTAAACACATATTCAATCCTAATCACCACTTTATTCTTTCTGTTGAACCATTTAATGTTGAACCATTTAATGATCATTTAACTCCTCCATTCAACTCTACTTCATGTCATCACCCACACTCCATTCAACTATTATTCAATCCTAGTCATCACCTTATTCAACTCTTATACTACTTGCATTGTGGATGCTCTTAAAGCATAGTGTTATTACACTGTAGATTGATGTGCTCTTATCTACAGTGTAATAACATTTGTCAAATGTTAGTTTTTATAATGTGAAATTCAAATCTATGTCTATACTACTTTGTCTATTTTAGAGTCATATCAAGATTTTCGTTAAAAAAGCTAATAAATACAAAATTAATTTAATAATTTTAAATAATATAGAAAAATATAGGGTAAATTACATCATTCGTCCCTTGTGCACATGCCAGAAAGCATGTTTAGTCTCTATTTTCAAAAATTAACTCGGACTGTCCCTCGTTCGTTTAAAACTTGCACGTTTCGTCCCTTTGGACATAAAAAGGCCATTTGCCCTTATTATTTCTTTTTGAATTTTCTTTTTATTTGTTTATTATTTTTTATATTAAAAAAAAAGAAAAAAACAATAAATATACATACATGAACCCACCCCTCCCCGCTTCCCCCTCCTACGTATTCCTCTACCTTTCCCCCCCATTCTCAGCCACTCTTGACGTCGGCGAAGCCCCATCACCCCCACCTTCACCTTC